GATTGCATCTGTCCTCCGTTATCCTCTCCGGCATTTTTCCCAACTTAGGAGCAAGGAGTTGCCATCCCTCGGCCTGGAGGCTGGCCTTGTTTCTTGGCGGTTGAGTTTTCAGCCCACGCTGTACTTCCCCATGTGCTAGTCGCATGGAGCCGCTGCTTTCTGTGACTTAGGGAACTAAGCTCGTCTCTGGGCCACCTGGAACAGATGTTCTAAGGTTTAAATCTAAGGATCCAGTCTTCTGCTTGACTTCCGGAGGGCACTTTTTGCTATAGATTTTCTTCACTTTTAAAATGAATTTACCATTGTCTTATCTGACATCAGCCCCCACCCACATCCCCTGTAAACGAGTGTTGTTAGTTTGAAACGGATATTTACTGGTCCGAAGGAATTTAACTAGATAAGACCTCTTCTGTGTGAACATTTCTTGGGCAAAAAGAGGATCGATGATCTCCAAATTACATAGATTTACTGTTAACTCCCAGAGACTTTGGGACAACTTTTTCATTATCTTACCAGTTTGGTTTTTGGTTTTGGTTTTTCCCTTCCCTGTAGAGGGATTTAGCTGTTTATTTTCCCCTGATAAGCAACATTCTTATAATTGACCAAAATACACCATATGAAACATACTTAGATAAAAATCTTTGTGGACCAGAAAACTTTCCATTGATCACCGTGGGGGTGGAGGGAGTATGCACAGTTGTAACCCTTGACAGCCGAGCGCTAAGCACCGCCTGGCCACCCACACTGTATTTTGGTCTCTCCTTTCAGCCACCATCACAAGCTCATCAGAGAACGATGACCGAAGTGGCTCCAGTCTGGAATGGAGTAAAGACGGAAGCCTGAGGCTGGGGGTTCAGAAGGGAGTGCTGCATGACCGCAGGGCAGACAATTGCTCCCCGGTGGCAGAAGAGGAGAACACTGGGTCAGCGGAGAGCTTGCTGCCTAAAGCGGAAGCCTCAGTTGGAGATGGTCCAGTGCCCTATTCTCAGAGCTCCAGCTCGCTAATAATGCCACGGCCCAACTCGGTTGCAGGTAAGGACTCCCCTCTCCCCAGCCGGTGATCTCACTGGCTCTGAGGACTCCCATGTTCAGGGTCTTCTCGGGGTGTAGTCGATGGGGAATCTAACCCAGGCACAGCCCGGCTTGGGCTCCTGGGTCTGACGCTTAACCTGTGCTCGGCCTTGGCATTATCCATCGGTGAGTGTGCCCAGGCAGCACGGAATGTGCTGGAATTTTGTCAGCCCGTGACTTGGACCCCGCGGCTCTTTGTGTCTGAGGGGAGAAAGCACAACCTCCCCGCCCCCCACCTGTCCTGGCCCCGGGATTGTTAAGGAGAATGATTGCTCATATTAGCTCTGCGAGTTTCTGATCCAGCCTTCAAAGTCATTTTTGTGTAATTGAGTCCCATCACACAGAAGCAAAGTCGAGTTCTATATAATTTAGCTGTAATGGAACTCAGCTGAAACTGTCAACAGCTGGAGGGAGACCGTGGCTGATGAGGAAATGACTGGGCTGGACAGACAGGCTTAGCGAGCTGGGGCGCTGGAACCGAGCGAGGAGGAGGAGGAGGAGGAGACACGGGCCCGCTCGCCCCGGGACTGTGGACCCGTCAGGGTCAGGGGTGGTCCCAAGAAGCAAGGAGATGAGCTTGGGGGGTGCAGGGAAAGGACGCTGCCTCTGAGCAGGGGTGCCTGGTGCCCTCAGGTTGAATTCAGAAGGGGAACATGTTGGGGTCCTCCTTCGTTACCAAGGCCGAGCTTACACTTTCTCTTCTGCCAAGAGTTGCATGGCCTGGATACCTCTCCTACATCAAAGGGCTTTGCTGTCATTTGCCCTGCTCTCTCGGGATGCCGGGCCATTCTGGTTGTTCCTGGGTGCTTTTTTATACAGCGTCACTCTGAGGTGGCTGGTAAAGAAATAGCCCTAATGGAAAAGCTCCGAGGCTCGACTAATTCCCTTTCAAAGGAAGTCGATGGCTTGGCTCCAGAGGAGGTATTTGGAGCATCTGCCAGAGAGAAGCGCTGAGGAGCATTATGTCTAGCGAGTGACGATGCCCCGCCTCCATAAAGCTCTGAGCCCGCCCACCGCTGGCCCCTTGAACAGAACCTGGGAGCTGCTTACCTCCTTTCCAGGCCTGCTCGCTGCAATTGCCCAGAACTGAGAGCTTCAGCCCCTGGCGAACTTGTAGTCAACTTTGAAAATTGGGAAACATGTTCATGCAAGCGTGGATGCCTGCGTCCTCCCAGTGCTAAAAGCACCCCTTTCAGGGTTCTGTTTTCTGCCTGGTGGTCTTTGATGTGGTTGGTCTCCGGGCACGTGGAGTGACAGTGGGTGTGAGCTGAGGTTCTCCAGGAGGCGGCAGCAGTGCTAGAACAGGGCTTGCTGGTTTCTGCTGGGCTCATTCATTACCTTGGACACATACCAGTGGGCTAGGCCTCCTGGGGAAGGGTGTGGGGGCGGGGGGCAGCTTTACCTGCCTGGCACTTCCTGGCCTACGAGTTTGCCTGTTGCTTCTGTGTTGCATCACTTAGTAAACGTAAAGCATAATTTTGGAAGGAAACATCAAGGCAAGGGCCTGGCTTGACAGTCGGTGAGCTTTGTGTCTGGCAGAGCCTTTGTTGCTGAGACCCACCTACCTCAAATCTGCATCTCGGCTACCAGGGGGTGACCTACAGACGCAGCAGTTGTTGTCTAGCAAGTAGAAGGCAGGGTGTTATGAAGAGAGCCCAGTAAGCAGTGCTCATGGTTAGAAGGGAGGCACGTGGATCCAAGGCATATAGAAAGGACCTCATACTGGAATCTCTTAGGAGTGTCATATAGAAAGGACCTCATACTGGAATCTCTTAGGAGTGTCTGTATGTTAACTGAAATAAGTTACCATTTGGTGGGAAAGGTGTTTTGACGTGTAGGGGCAGAGGCCTCCAGTCACAGCTCCCCTGTGGGGACTCAGCCTTTGGTGGGGGTGGGGGGAGCAGTGAAATCCCAGGCCATCAGTCTTACCTGCCATTGAGCCTGTACCCAAGGGCTCTGGTGTCTCGGTGCACAGGCCGTCAAGTCTGGTGCAGGGAACCGTTTTCGCCAGAGCACGTCGCTTCCTTTTGCAGGTGAGGCCACTGTCCAGACGTTCTTTGCCAAGGTGTCGGCCAGCATGGCGTTCATTTGTAATGCTGCTACTGGGTTGTGATTGCGCCTCCCACCCAAGTGAAGAGCATGGGCCCCCTTTAACTTGAAAAAAAAAAAAAGATGGCGTGAGAATCCTTTAAAATTCTATCGTAGGTACTTTAGAGGATGGGAGATTTGGTCTACTCATTTCAGCTACTTTCCCTCCTTTTGAAACTCTGTCAGTGAATCTCAGAACAGCTCAGTGGTTATCCAGTTTTCTGTCCTTTCTTGTTAAAACAGTTTTATTGACACTTCATCCACATGTCACACAATTCAATAGTTCAACACTATCAAGAGTTGTACAGTCATTATCACAGTCAACTTTAGAACATTTTCTTCCTTCACCCACCCACCCGCCCCTCCCTGGTTAAATAGCTTTTAAAAGGAGTTGCATAATCACCATCAGTTCTAGTACCCCGCCCCCAGTTTTCTTGATAATTGGTAGTAATCGACAAGTGGTCATTTCTTTTATTGGCATTTTTACCTTTGAGAGAAGGGCCCATCTACGACCGATGGTTTCAGCAGCTGTTTCTCTTCGCTCCATGTAGAGGTGAAGCCCCCCACCTCCCTACCCCAGACCACTTCCCTGCAGCATCTTGAAATGTGTTGCACACCCAGATGTGTGTGTGTGTGTGTGTGTGTGTGTGTGTGAAGTGTAGAACCAGTCGTAGAGGTGTTAGCAGTAGGTTGCTTGCAGCGAGACATTATAGCTTTGTCTCTGAGTTTCCTGGGCCCTAAATAGTGTTTTAGGATTGTCGTCCCGTGCTGACAGTGAGTCTGAGTCTTCTCCTGGTGACGACTGAGGAGCTGCTACAAGGCTGAATGTGGCCCCTGTCACCTGTCCTGGGTCAGTGGGGGACACCAGGGCACAGAGCTCAGCCGCTGAAGTGTGTTGCTCCCGGCACGTTGCTGATTGCAAAATCAAGTAGAGGGGATGGGTGGCCTGCTGCTCTGCTGCGTGACGGACCCTTCCGTGGCGGCAGGCCTCCAGACGGCGGCGCTGAGGAGGCACTGAGGGGCCATTGCCTACTTTGGCGCAAAGGCTGCCGTGGCGGCAAATCTGGAAACGGAGACCGCCGAAGTCTCACCATCTCGGGTGAGACTGGGGCTTTCATTTTCTGTCTCCCTTATTCTAGTAATCCTTTATTCAGACATCTTGTCGAGTCTCACAATCTTTTTTTTAATAATCATTGTATTGACTCGTACAACTCTTAACACAATCCATACATCCATCCATTGTATGTCAAGCACATTTGTACATGTGTTGCCCTCATCCTCAAAACATTTGGTTTCTACTTGAGCTCATAGTATCAACTCCTCATTTTCCCCCTTCCTCCCCACTCCTCACTCCCTCATGTACCTTACCCTTGATAATTTATAAATTATTATTTTGTCGTATCTTACACTGTCCAGTGTCTCCCTTCACCCACTTTTCTGTTGTCCGTCCCCCAGGGAGGAGGTTATATGTAGATCCTTGTAATTGGTTTCCCCTTTCTCTTTCACGTTCTCTCCACCCTCCCGGTATTGCCACCCTCACCACTGGTTCCGAAGGAATCATCTGTCCTGGACTCCCTGTGTTCCTAGTTCCTATCTGTACTAGTGTACATCCTCTGGTCTAGCCAGATTTGTAAGGCAGAATTGGGATCACCTTCCCAATATGATCGCTGAAGACAAATGTGCATAAGCAAATGTGGTGAAGAAAGCTGATGGTCTGGCTGTCAAAAGATAAAGCATCTGGGGTCTTAAAGGCTTGAAGGTAAACCAGTGGCCATCTAGCTCAGAAGCAACAAAACCCACATGGATGAGTCTCACAATCTTAATCTTTGGAATTGTCCACAGCGATAACCTGAGCGCTACCCACAGAGGGGAGCCAATCCAGCTCAGATGGCAGCTCCCGCTTGGAAGTGAATGGCCTGATGTTTTATGGCTGCGGCTGCCTTTTCTCACTTGGACCCTGACATGATAGACCCTGACCTCTGACAGTGAGGCCAGAAAGGAGCCTAGGAACATGTTCCAAACAGTGTCAGGCAGGAGATTGGGGAGGTGGGTGTGGTCCCGTCAACCCTCTCAGCAGTGTCCCAGGTGTCCCAGGCTGAACATGGAGGGTCTGCGCAAGAAAGGCCGGGCCAGCTGCTTCCATAAAGATGACAGCCAGGACCACTATGAAGCAGTTCCACTCCATAACACACTCTGCAGAAACAGCTTTCCTTCCTTTGTGTGGGTTTTGGAATGGAATTACTTAGCTGAATTGTGTTTGAGGGGAGAGGTTTGCAAGGTAGCAGACTGCGTGCGTGGAGGTTCGCCCAAATGTGCGTGTGCGTGGTGTGTGAATGGACTGAGGATATACACCTGAAGCAGCATAAAGGTTTGCTCCTGTCCGGCGGGGTGCAGGTGCCCCTCGTGGAAGGTGAGTAGAGCAGGTGTTGGCTGGTCCCTGCGAGAATGTAACGAGGGGAGCAGTCCTACTGGAGGGTTAGGTTGCTGAATGGACTTACCCACTGGGCTGGAGTTCAAACTGCCAGCCTGCCATGTAGCCAGCCCAGCAGGGGGGCATTCCCAGTGGGAGGAGGAAGGGTACTGCAGCCTGACAGTAGGGGAAACAGGGTGGGTGATGATTTTGGACATCTGATGCTGGGTGGCAGCTAGCTGGGTGCGATATTGGTGCCTATAAGGTAGCCAGAATATGTCCACAAGGCAGGTGGCCCAGCTTGACTTCTGTCCCCTCACAAGTTGGTCCCACGATGTTTTTATTTGCCCTTGTAAGTCATAGACTTCAGAATGCAACTCTGTAGCCTCCTCATTTGTCCCCAAATTATGGGTCTATTTGTTATCCTGGAAGATAATCTTATGTCCGAAGTCAGTGGTTTATGTTCAGTCATTAATCTGAAAACTGCATTAGGTTAATCTTATTTAGATGTCTCTCACAGCGACCCAAGTTGTACATGTAGATAGGAAGGGGGTTGCTTAAAAGCAAAACCATGTGCACATTTGCTTTCAAGACTTGCCAGTAATTCTTTTGTGCTGGTTACTTTATAACACAATTTATAAAGTGAAGTGTGTGTGCTTACAGCCTTGATACTTTGTACAGGTGTCTGTGCACGCTGAAACTGTCGATTGGGTCAGAGGTAAATGTGGTGAGCTTGCTCTTTAGACACACCTATCAAGCACACATATGTGCACCTGACAAAAAGTTACCATACACCGTGTCACTGGGCGAGTGAGCGGGGCAAGCGAGCCCCACACGCCTTTCAGTGACGTTCGTTGGAAGCCTGACCCCAGTGGCTCTAGTCGTTTAGACCGTGAAGTTGTTTGGGGATGAAATTAGCTCAACTTTGAAGACACTGAACTTCGGTTTAATGTTACAGCGACAAGCTCAACCAAATTGGAAGATCTGAGCTACTTGGACGGACAGCGAAATGCACCGCTTCGAACGTCCATGCGGTTACCGTGGCACAGTACGGCAGGAGGCCGGCCGCAGGAAGCTAAAGGTATTTTTTTCCTGGCACCCTCTGTGATCCTGGGTGTAACAAGCTCATTCACAAACTACGGAGGTCTGTCATCACCTGTCTTTTTTTTAGCTTTTTTTTTAAATTATGTGAAGTGTGTGTGCTAAGCAGTTTTTCCTGCAAGGTGTGTTGTGGGGTATCTTTATCAGTTTGGAGATTTTTTTTTCTTCACATTTTTTTATCTTTATTTAACAAGTTGTTCTGATTTTGAAGCAACGCTTTTTTTTTTTACTGATCCTCATTTAAATGTACTTGTGTGCATTATTTTCCACTCCGTATTTTATTTTTTAAAGATCATTTTATTGGGGGCTCTTACGGCTCTTTGAACAAACCATACATCAGTTGTATCAAGCATATTTGTACATATGTCGCCATCATCATTTTCTGAATATGTACTTTCTATTTGAGCCCTTGGTATCAGCTCCTCTTTCCCCCTCCCTTCCCCATGGGGATTCTTTCTTGAACATGATTAACTGCTTGACTGTGGGTGTTGAAGAATCATTCTGCAGCAGGTATTTTGCAATCAAATAGATGAGTATTCACCGTTACCAACATAGACTCAGCTGTATTTCGGCTCCCTGGCCTCCTGGCCACCTCCCAAGTCCACCCAGAGCACACAGCCTTCAGCTGCCTTCTCCCCACGAGCAACGCCGCATTCCACCCCCTGGGGCAGTGCATCTGCCTCTAGGCGAATGTGTTCCCAGGAGTGGGAGGAACAGGTCTTAGATACAGTTTCCGACCAACTAGTGAGCTGTCTGGTGGCCTTTGGCATCACGTAGTCCCACCCTTAGTGCCTACGCCTCCGAGTACTGATGATGGGGAGACAGCAAAGACCAGAAAGTCATTTTCTTAGGACACTTGCAGAGCCCATGTGGTAGACCAGTCAAGGCCTACCAGAAAAAGTACGAAGAAAGCCTGAGTGGGAGTACTTAGCTTTCTTAAAAACTAGAGTGTAAGTACTCACTATGTGACATAACAAGGGTGATTTTGGGTGGAGGTGTGCGTAAAATAATGATATTCTTGAAAAAA